ATGTAGCCGGGAAGCACTGGCAGCACATAGCATCCTCTAGCCTCTACAAGTGCATGTGGTTGGAGTAACCATGAGGTGGTCCTCCGGGTTGGTCGTACCATCATAAGCACCTACCAACACATTCTTAACCACGGCCAGCTGTGCGGCTTCGGTTATTCCTTGGTGAACGCAAAAGTTTGTTCACCAAGTTTGAGCAGTCGGAGCTGCCAGTCCAAAGGTTGGACTTTATATGCCGCCTGACCCCCAAAGAGGGCCGGCTGTATGAAATGAGGAGAATACCAGTCGTAGACCATAGAGGGTACATAAGGTGCATTCCCAATCATCTGAGGGCTAGATTGGACGGTATTACCGCTTGTGTGGCTCTCATGCAAGGATTGAGCATTCCCTGCGGATGTATTCTTGAAGCTATCTAGAAAGCTCAAAGAAGAGGCTTACTCAGATAGCTGCTGACTTTTCCTGCGGGTGATAATTTTCCGGGCATCAGGAGTAGATTTTTTGTTTCTCACCAGTTGTTCACCCCAGCGGGTGTATCTTTTATTCTTCTGGGGTAGAAGAACTTTGGACCAGTCAAGGGTCCCGGCTGCCTTGTCCTTTGGATGTGGAGTTGGCTGCCTTTCCCTGACTGGCTTTCTCCTATATAGAGGAGTCTTTGTTTCCGACTGACCCTTGCTTGGGCCAGCCCTGCTCTTGGTGATCAGATCCTTGATTTCACCCTTGAAACTAGTCATGAATTTCATGAGTTTGTCCCGGGTGACTGGGGCGGATCCGCCTGCTGCATGGGTTTCCCCTTTCGGCTGACCAGGGGTTCAGCTGGTACCCGCCTGGCTTGTACTCCGTTCCAGAGTGTCTATGGGACGGATGCGCTTGGTAATCAGAGAGCCATCCTTAGCTATGTAGCTTTCAACCTGAGGATCATCATCCTCGTGGTCAATAAAGACCTCTTGATGGTTAACTGGATGATCGGGAGGTGGTACAGAAACTTAAACCATCCTTAAGGTACTCTCCCCACAGACGGCGCCAAATGTTTTGGGTATTTTTTGTCCCTCGGGAGAGTTACAACTCATAGACTAGTTGCGCGGGGCCTGTATCTACAAAACAACGGAGACTCCGAGTGGTTACAGCTCCGTCTTCGATGATCAAGTTAGTACTTAATGATAAACGGGAGAAAGTGCTGAAAAAGAGGTGAAATCTTCTCGGATTTTGAGATCAGGTAATTCTCTCATGTAAGAGAATGTATGGTATGCTGTAATAATTGTAGATGCCCAAAAAATGGGGGAAATCTCCCTTTTTATAGGGTATGCATTCTCGGGATTTAGGCCATTGAAGGCCGTCTTTTTCTCCCAAGTTATAGGAAGGACATGTGGCAAATGGAGGTTGGCCCAATTCGGACCAACCAGTGTATGACACGTGTCGAGATCTGATTGGACCACGTGACATGGGTAAAATTACCCAAAACAGAAAATATTTCTTTTCTTACTCTATTCATGACACGTGTCGAGATCTGATTGGACCACGTGATATGCGCCCAATAATAGTGTAGTTGGATGGGGCTTGAAAAGACCTTTCCAACGATACATTATAAGCCCAATTCCGATGAATAATGCGGAAGTTATGGCCAAAATACTAAACTGGGCCCAAACCGGATTTTACCTACGGCCCAATGATCATGTGGAGGGTCCAAAGGTTAAATCCTATTCCTAAACTAATTAGGATTAATTAGAAACTTCCATAAGTTTCTAATAGACCTTAATTATCCTTTTTGAAAAGATAAAATCAAAGAGTTTGACATTGAATAAAACATTCCTTTTTTTTTAAATCCTAATTCTATTCGAATTTAAAGATGTTCAAAGACAGTCAGAAATTTTTTTTGTGCCTCAAAATATTTATCCACATCTTATATAATTGGATAGATCTTGAAATTATATTTCTAATGATATATTATAAGATTAATTCTGAGCAATAACGAAAAAGATATGAAATGAATACGAAACTCTATCCAAAATTGACACACTTCCATTATTTCAACCATATCTTTTTATATACAAAATATTTTAATATGATTCTAATTGAGTTGGAAGTTAGATTTCAAGAGCTTTCCAACGACATATTATATGACTTATTTAAACTTTTGGATCAAAAGATATGATAAAAACAAAATCCGCAAAAAAGTTGTCCCATTGTCAAACGACAGGTCTATCGCCTGGCGACGATACTTGTCGCCTGGCAAAGAACTTGTCGTCTGGTGCTGCTCCTGTCGTTGGCGACATGAGTTCTTTTATTCTGGATAGGACTCAAACTCTTTTCTTTCGATTTCCGTGCTATTTATTCTATAAATAGGGGTCATATCTCCCCGTTTTTAATCATTCACAATCATCACCTCTTTCTCTCTCTAAAAGCTAGAAGCTTTCCTTCTCTCTCTATTCTTTTTCTAAACCTTCCCTTTTGCAAAATTCCTCATACATTAGTTCTAGACACACCTAGCCAAGTTCGAAGTTGCCTTCGCTTTAGACGTGAAAGATTGATAATTTCTGAGGGTTTAGTCCTTAATCTCTATTTCAATTATTTAATTTAATTGTATTGTTTTAATATTTTCCTTGAATTTACTAACGCGTGTATTTTTTTATTAGAAACAGGTACGAGGCATCGAAGTAATTACTTTAATTGTTTAATTGATCTTTTGATATAGAAATCATGCTTAGATTATTATTTTTTATTATTCCTAGTATCATGTTAGGATGTTTTATTGCTTCCTAGTATCATGTCTAGGGTTAACTAATATTTTTAATATCAAGTATGATTATTATGATGCTTTCTTTTTCTTTCCTTATATCATGTTAGTATCATGTTAGGGGTAAATGTTTGATCTTTGATGTTTAGTGACATGTTAGGGTTTGTTATTAATCTTATTAGTATCATGCCTAGGATCTTGCTAATAATATTATAATTTAACATGATTGTTATTTTAATTATGGTTGTAATGATTATTATTATGATTATTATGTTGCTTGATTATTATCATTATTGCTTGATCACGCCTTTTCTGCATGTTTAAAGGGAATTTGTACTTGTAATCATGTTTAATAAGATAATTAATAATCTTGTTTAGGCTAATTTGATTATAATTCAAGTGATCGCCAATAATAGTTTTGTTTGTGCATTAATATTCAACCAACATAGATAAATAGGTTTAGGGTTAACCTATTGATTGCATGTTAGTCAGAAAGCGCACATGAATACGAGAAGAATAAATTAGAGTCCTATTATTAGGCAGGTTCAGTCTCTTTTAGGTAGGATTTGTACCTTCATCCCCAAACTTCTAGTCATGGTTCCAGACCTATTGGAGTAAACGATCTCTTGGACCGTTAAAGGGTGTAACCTTCACCCTGTGAAAGGTTTACAAGTTTCTAAAACTTGTTGGCGACTCTTTTGCTATAGCTTCCTTCTCTTTGGACGCCACCATGCTTAAGTGTATGATCATAGTAAGGCTCAATTGTGGGATGACTTGAAATATTCCCTATAGTTTTTTTTGGCAACTCTACTAGGGAGGATTTCTATTTTAATTCCTGAAATTTATTTTGGCAATGATTTAGAATAAGTGGATGAGACTCGAAAAGTTCTAAGTATTTTATGTGCGTAATTTTGATAGACATTATTGGCCTAAGCATAAAAAGGTTCTCATTAGAAAGACCATCCGTAATGAGTAAAAAACATAGGATTTTTTACACGTAGGAATCTAGGGAAATATCTTTCATAACTAAAGTCGAAATAATGCTACGAAAAAACTGGAAAAATCAAGAACTGAAAGCTGCCAAGGCATGTAGGAATTAGCGCTGAGAAAACAGCGTCAGCGTCAACGACGACGCTGTCGCAAGGCAAAAAGCTTTTTGTCTGGCGACGGTGGCAGAGTCTGGTGACGACACTATTTTCCCGCGCCAAATTCTTCCACTTCCGAGCCAGAAATCTACCTTCTTGTTTCGACTAGGTTTCTAGTACTGTTTGCTCAGTTTTACTTCCTGATTGAGTTTTTCCCTTTTTTCAGAAACCCATATGTGTTCTACATATGGACATAACCCTATGGGAATTCATTCTCCATCTACCCAATCGAATGCTCCTGGCAACGAAGGGTACATCCGAGATTGTTGAATTCCCCAAACCATGGACGCGAATTTAACCATGGACCAACCCTTCCAAAGGTAAGGCTTTTGTGCGGTGCATTCAGACTCATAACCATGGACCCTCTTTACTAACCCATATTGTGAACTTTAGAGAACTAGAGCCATGGTTAGGTTGCAAACTCATTGCATCATGTTGTGACTATTTGACTACTTGTGCATTATTTGCTTGTGCATACTTACATGTGATTAAACTAACCGTTTGTTTGACTTGTAATTAGAAATATGCTTAAATAAACTAACCAAGAACTAAAAGAATTTTCTTAATTAATTGATTAATTAATTTAAGCTAATAAATATGTCTAAAATCGAGTCATAGTTCCTTTGAGTCAACCCGGATTTTTATTCCCATATACTGCACAAACGTCAACTTGTGTTAGTCATAGCCGAAGTTCTAAAAAGGGTTATGAGTTGTATAACCTATGGATCTGTAGCCCTGAGTTTTATCTTTAATTTGGCGTTGATTTCGTCTCAATCAGTGTCACGAGTAAAAAGTTATGACTAAAATACTACAACCTGTCCAATTTAGTGCACATATATGAGGTCTTAACTTAGTCTTTGTTAGAGTATAGTCTAGACCTGGCAAACGGGTCATGTCATGTCGTGTTCGTGTTCGGGTCCATCATAAACGGGTTGAAGAACCCAAACTCTGACACGACCTGTTTACTAAACGGGTCATGGAGGCTAGACACAAACACGACCTGTTTATTAAACGGGTAACACGAATTTAACACGTGTAACCCGTTTAGATAAACGGGTCGTGTTCGTGTTAAAAATTTTGACCTGTATAATAAATGACCCTGTAAGTAAATATAACCTGATTATCAAAAAAAAAAAAAAACCTGATTATCTCAATTAACCCACAAAAATAGGCTCACTTGGCCCCAAATATTTTCAACATTACCAAACCAACCATAGTAGCCATGTTTGCCCAAAAGGCCAAAATATTACAAACCAGAAATTAAAGTTTGCCCAAAATATTAATTGTTCAAAATATTACATGTCACTTAATTGTTCAAAAAAAACCCAAAATGTTCATTCCGTAATCAGATTTGTGACGACAAGATTGACAACTTCCACTTGAATTCCAAATTTCATATGCCACCAATTCAAGCCACCTCCTCTTGCAAGGGTACCTAACAAAACAAAATTACAAGTTAAATAATAATAAATACATAGTGAAAAAACAGCAAGTAATAATGAACATGATTTATAAATAATAACAAAAAAAAGGTATGAGATTGATTACCTAATCAAGAACATTAACAACAGGTTTGGAAGTTGAACAAGGAGTGCTCCCACTTCCACTAGCCAAAACAGGACTTGGTGTAGTGCTTGGACATGAAGTTTCATTAATATCAAGCTTTAAATTCATGATGTTGTCACATATATCCTCCACCCCAACAATCTCATCAGCTAAATAGAAGAATAAATAAGAATAAGGCTATTGAAATCATAACTAATACTGTAATAATTTTATTTATAAATAAATAACAAGTTAAAAAATCACCTTCCTGCCCATACAATCAATCTCTTAGACATATCAATGCTTCCACAACAGATGGCTTTAAAGAGCTCCTAACAGGGTCTAAAACCCTCCCACCAATAATAAATGCAGATTCTGAAGCGACAGTTGAAATATGCATACAATGGATATCTCTAACCATAAGAGAAAGAATGGGGAAGCGAAATTGACTTGATTTCCAAAAATCAAGGATGTCCAATTCATTGATACGAGGAATTAAAGGCTCCTCCAAGAATACTTCAAGTTTAGATTTTGGAGTACTAGCAAATTCCCCTCCAAAGAAATCATCAAAGTCCTAATTAATTATATTTACAATAAGTAAAAAATAATTCTAATAAATAATAATCATAGTAATAATAATTAATAATAAACAAAAAAGTAAATAGACAATATACCTTCATGAAGCCATCAGCAGGAACAAAGTTCACACCACCATGATTAGTTTTAGAAGGTGTGGATGATCCACCATATGATTGAGTTGAAGAAGTAACATATGAATTAAACAACTCAAATAACTTGTCTTACAAGCATGACACCTCAAAAGAGGCATTTGAATCATATACTTTGGCATATACAAAACTCACCAACTGAAATTTGTATCGAGGATCCATAACCGCAGCAATAGCCATAATGGGAGAGAAATCAGATTAATATTTCTCAAACTTACCCCACATTCTCAATGCCATCTTTCTAACAAAAGAATCAACACTTTCCATTTCATATTTCAACAACAATCTTACCTTCATAAAATTAGGAAAGTAGAGATTTGCAGTAGGGTATTTTGAACCAGAAAAAGCACAAGTAACATCATAAAAAACTTTCAAAAACTTGAAAATTTTCTCAAGCCTAGACCACTCCTCATTTGTTGGACAATGCACATAGTTAGTATCAGTTTTTTGAAGATGAACAAAAGCCTTTCTGTAAAATATATCACTCTCTAACATCATATAAGTAGAGTTCCATCGAGTTGGCACATCTTGCCTCAACCCCTTAGATGAACACAATGAAACATAAGCAACGCAATCAAGAAATCTTTGTTTCCTAGACTGTGAACCCTTGCAATATTTCAAAGTTTCTCTAACCTTACAAACAGCGTCATCAACCTCCTTAAGTCCCTCTTGGACTACCAAATTCAGAATACGACAGCAACAACGAATATGAAAATATGTCCCATCACACAACAAATCAAGATTTCCTATCAAACAATCAACAAACACATCATTTGCAGAAGCATTATCCAAAGTCATTGACATTATTTTTTTCTCAATTCTCCACTATTTTAGCAATGTGTAAATTTTTTCAGACATAGCAACACCAGTATGGGGTGGGGGCATTAAAGAGAAGTTCAAAATCCTTTTCTGTAAAGTCCAAGACTCATCAATATAGTGTGCAGTAAGTGATATATATCCATCAGTGGTAAGAGATGACCAACAATCAGATGTTAAAGAAATTCTCCAAGAAACTTCATGCAAGGCAGCACCAAGTCTTACTTTCTCCATATTGTAAAGTTTAATTATATCATTTTTTGTGGTGTTTCTAGAGAACAATTTCACATCAGGTTGCAAGTAAGAGAATACATTCCTAATCCCTTCATATTCAGCAAATTGAAAGGGCAACCCATGCTTAACAATAGCAACAGCAAGAAAATCACGAAAAACTTCAATATCAAAGGTAGGATTTCAAGTTTTCAGACCATCAACACTAGATTGCAAAAGCATTTGACCAATATCTCTACTATTTTTCTTCTTACAACTAGTAGAATGTCGAAGCAAATTACCAGTACCATAATTACTATCAGCACTATAAATCTTGCCACATTTCTTACACTTACACCACAAATTACCATCAGGGTCAAGTTCTAAAATGGTAAAATTCACCCACACACCAGAGGTAAGCTTTCTACATCGCTTAAAATTCTTACCAGGCTTGTAAGTGTGGCCGATTTTCTTTCCCTTTTGTTGTTTAACCGATTTACCCCATGTTTCCTTAACAAATTCAAGCTCCGGGTAACCTTCTTCCCCGTCAATTTGAGTGGATTTTGGTGCAGAATCCATCTACAAAACACGAATTAAGGAAGCTAATTAGGAAAAGATGTAGAAACTAATACATGAACATAAAACTAAAAAGTTAAATTATATAGATCTACATGCATGAAACAAATTAACACAAAATAAATTGAAAATCATACTAAAAAATGAGAAATTACCTTATGAATATGAAGTATGACATATTATTTGAATGATCTACAAAACAAATATTAAAATAAATTAGATGAAAAAGCAAAAAAATAATACAGTAATATATAAACAATGAAATGTCTTAAATGAAGAACGAAAATAAAAATAAATGAATTGAAGGTGATGAAATGACAATGAACTCATGAGGAGATGAAGTGAGGAATTTACCTTGAGAAGTTGAGAGAGTGTGAGTGTGACGGCTGAGAAGAGAGACGACTAGAGAGTTACTACTTGTTTGAGGAGTAATAAATGCGGAAAGTAAAGGTGGGAGATCTGGTTCCTTTAAGGGAAGAGTGATCAATGTGTTTAGACTTCTCTAGGTGAGAGTCATCAATTGCTGAATCCCCTTTAATGAGGATTAATTAAGTATTTATAGTCTTGAGAAGCGTGTCAATCCTAGGTTTAAGTTAACCAGGGCAAATTGGGCTTCTCTCGGACTTTGGGCCTTGGTGGCCATTTTGCCTATTTGGCATATGGGAGGCCACGTGGCGTGGCCTGATTAGTCCATGTTGGACCTCTTAGGGTGACAAGTGGCGGACGCTGATTGGCCCACGTGGTGGACACGTGGCAGGTCCGGATTGGTCCATTTGTCATGGGTAATTTTTACCCTAAACATTTGCCCCTCGGAAGGAGTAATTTCTCTTTCCAGGAGGGATTGCTCCTTTCGAAAGTTAGACCCTCAAAGCTTTGCTAGGTCGGCATCTTGTCTAGTTCTAATGGGAGATGGACTTGATTAACTTAGAAAATTTTGATACCTTGGGCGGTATGACATTTTCAAGGTTAATCAATCATAATAATGATTGCCGCCGAACTAGACAGATGTCGATTCTTTGCCCCACTATGCAGATAGCCCCTGATCAGGTGGACTGTCAACTATTGCACAAGCGGTAAGCATTTAGCATTATTCGGCCGTTGGCCTCTTTTGTTTGAGTAGTAGGGAAGCCAGGCGGCGGGGGCCGGATAGTCCCCTTGATTCGCCAAGTTTTTCTTGGCTATTGACTCAAAGGTTGTTAACCTAGCAGGAGTAGTGGTTGAGAGCCCCTGTTTGCTAAAAACAGGCGGGCGACTCATACCTTTTAGGCTCCATACTAAGTTTGAGAGAGTGACTATGAGTTAACATGGAAGTTACTCAGTCTCCGTCACACTCTAGCTTGAGTAGTAGAGGTACCAGGCGGCGGAGGCCGGCTGAACCTTTTGATTCGCCAATGTTTGTTGGCTATTAACTCAAGAGGTACCCCCTGCATTTATCCCAAGTAATACAGGGGGTCATCCGACTCAGATGTCAACTGCTACCACTGGTTTGGTTAGTGATAGAGTTATCCTTGTCTCAAAAACGGCTACGTGGTTGTCCTTGGGGATAGTCGTCTAGGTGCCGTGTACTTAGTTTATAAAGCAATGTTCCACCCAAAAGGGAGCTGCTCTCTGCGACGAATTTCATCCGGAGGGATGCCGCCGGACGCCTGCTATTATGTTGGGACAGGTCGTATTAGTTTAATTTTAAGGGAGGATCAGTCGGCCTGGCGCCTGGGCTGATCATCGGGCCTGTGGCCTTGGTTAGTTCTTGGCGAACGTAGGTGCTAAGTAAGAAGAGGGCAGCCGCTTGTTTAGGCACATGGTCGGCCTGGCCTTAATCTTTTTTAGCTAAGTATAAGGGGGTGGTTGTCTGTTTTGGAAACAGCTGTCCCTCTTCTATGGAGAGTGGCCGACTGTATGTCTAGACGGCATGCCCCTCTGGTTGAGTAAAATAACCAATGGAGAGTAGCCGACCATAAAGGTACAGGCGGCATGCCCCTTTGAAAATAAAGAGTAAAATACTCAATGGAGAGTAGCCGACTGTAAAGGTACAGGCGGCATGCCCCTTTGTAGATAAGAGTAAAATACTCAATGGAGAGTAGCCAACTGTAAAGGTACAAGTGGCATGCCCCTCTGAATCAGTATCAAGTATTGAAATCATTTCAAGTGTTAGAGCAGATGGATCACCTAGTTCCCTTCCATAAAGGATGGATGGTGTTATTAATGAGAGTCGGCTGCTTTTATAGCTACGAGACTTCATTGTATAGGGGGTCGGCTACTATTCATGCCGCCTCTCTTGCTTGATAGATTGTCACACAAATAAGTGGAGGACGGTCTTCAGTAAGGTGCCGCCTAAACATAAGGGAGACGGTCTTCAATAGGGTGCCGCCTAAACAGCCGGTTTTACTAACCTTAGGCAATTTTTTCCTTTTTTTTTTTTTTTTTTTCCTTGCAATCATAATAATGATAATGTGCTTATGGTGACAACTCACACATAAGATGAGACTTCCTGAATAATCATGCGTCAGGTTTTATACGATATGCAAGGCGTCAAGCCCCACACATGCTTGCAATGAACAAGCAATCGACTACTCTTTGGGTTTTGAGGCTGGCTGCTTGAGCTACGACGCTTTACATGCCGCCTGCTCAAGCTTCACATCCGGCCAAGCATGGTGCCGGTCTCCTTTGGTGGTTGATCAAAGAGAGCTGGCTCTCTCATAACACCAAGATACGAGGGGGTGTTTTCAATAATCATTTGGCATGCCGCCTGTTGTATGATGTCGATTGCCGAGCCACTTGTATATAGCTTGCATATTCACAGGTGGCTTATTATGCCGCTTGTGTTTCTAATTCATCTTCAGTTTTCTACTCAGCAAGGAGTCTATCAAACATACGGCTTTTGCCCCTTGCTTGTGCTACTGCCGGATGCTTTAATCATAGGTGCCCATGCTCCACCTTGTACTTTGTCAATGATTTCAAAGGCCGGCTGGTTCTGCCGTGATGTGCCGGCTGTTTTTAATTGCCGTATAGCCTGACTTGTGATGGTAGCGAGAGCCGCCTGTTATGAAAATTTACAAACTCTCAAGATTAGACGTCCACTCCCGTCTTGTGTATTTTGCCATTCATAACGAACACACTCTTGTCTTGCTGTGCCTTTGCTTGCTAGCTTGTGGCACAAATTTATGCAATTTCAATGGTTCATTGGTTTAGTTTTATGAGCCTAGGACCCACACTGCTTGGGAGCTTTGATATATCAGGCGTCTAGGAGAGACAATTACATCAAATAGCCCTTGTTTATATGAGCGAAGCCATTCAGCTGCTTATTAGAGACCCTTGTCCTTGAAGTGCCGTATCACAACCTGTGCGACCACTCTTAAACTCCCAGGTGTAGGGAAGTATGCTACGCATTCTATAGTCCCGCATTCGTTTACTGAGTTAGCTGTGAATGTCGCCAGCTTATATGAACTAGACGACTCTTGTAAACCATAGCCGACTGTTTTTGCGATGGCCATTGAGATGTGAGATGCTCGGCCCTCCAGACTTGCCTAGTTTTCTTAATGCAAGCTAGGTAGAATTTGCAAGTAACACAACCATGATGAAGGCCGGCTGGTTTTGTTATGAGGTGACGGCTGTTCCGTATCGTTCCTGCCCATTAGATATTTGTAGCTGTCCATAAAAGAGTGCCGGCTGTTTCGAGCCATTCGAGTCTTGATTTAACGCTTGTATGTGTTTGAGATGAGAGCCATCAAGCTCTCGCTTACAAGTTTCAATAGCGGAGAGCCGAATGTTTAGGGTAAAATATGGCTGAACGATGTTTTGGCTGGGATGAGGGCTGGTGCCGCCTACTCAAGCCCCTGCTCAGTCCAAGCACAAAACTCGTAGTCTGAACTTACATAGCCTGAATTTACTCGACCATGACCCTTCGAAATTCAAGAATCACATAGCCTGAACTTACATGAGGAGCAGGCCGGATGCTTCCATGGTTATAAGAACTTGAGCTTAGCTATGCTTTTAATAATCAATGGTTGCGAATGCCGCTTCGTTCTTTGCGAATGGTTTTAATGGCCGGTATCCTTCTTGTAGGCTAGCTGATAGTATGAGATAAGCACTTTATTTTAAAATAATTCTCTCGGCTGTCGTTGAATGATTATAGAGCCGATTGTATTGAACCAACCGCGTGTTGATTTTGGATGCTATGTAGTTGCGGCTATTTTTGCTGGGTAGGTGCCGCCTGTTTCTCCTTGAAACAGGGCCTCGTACAGTTGACTCACATGGTGCTTTGCTCTTAAAGGGTCGAATGCTTGGAGTGCCGCACGATTATTCACAATTCTCAAGTGTGGCTCGGTTTCTCGCCTCGAACTCGGCATTTGGCCGCCTATTTTTGAAATGCTTGGGCCGGCTGTATCAAAGAGGAGCATTAGCGTCTCGGTTATTTTGAGGCCGCCTGCTCTGAAATCATTCGGAATTATGCCGGTTGTTTATATCATCCCAACACAGCCAAGTTCAATGCACGTTTGCTAGTGGCAAATACATGCTATGTATTCAATATACCATCTGGCTGCTTCGTGGCTTAACTTGTATACAATCAGCCGATATTAGCATTGCAAACACCTATATGTGTTGCTCCTATTAGCGCAGCTGGTCAACCACTCAAGCAGTACTACCGGGTTTCCTTGATATACGGTTGCCTATTATGCTTGTCCATTCGTTGCCGAGAGCTCTATTAGTGGCTTGCTAGACACATTACACTGGTTGAACACTCATGGAGGGCCGACTCCTTGAATACTCCCAAGAATCACTTAGCTTGATCTTTACATGTGGAGCATGCCGGCGATTTTCCATTTGTGAAGCTGCCCGCTGTTTGTTATAATCATGAGGGGCTAGGCTAAATGCCGCCTCATAAATAAAAAATTAACTTGATTGTGGCCTTGATAAGCTAATGCAAACAGGCGTCAAATCCCAAGGGCTCCACTTCTTTGACACCTCTCTTTAATGTACAATATGAGAGGCTTTTAATTGTGTAGTGGATTGCCACCTAAGGCTTTAAGTGGAGTTTTTCCATAGAATTAGTAAGTTAGGCGGCTCCCTCTTTTTTCTTTCTTTTTTTTTTTTTTTTACAATCATAATAATGATTAATAAAAATGAGTAATAATGACTTGATAACAATAGCTTACAAACCTATCCATACGACTCTTGGCATTCGGCCGTATGACGCTTGTAGTACTTGGCTGCCGGGCCGAATGCTTAGAGGCTGCTATCTTGCCGGCTGTACTCATTGAGTGATGCTAGGCGCATCTAACTTCAATTGGGGGTGGTTACACCTGGCCGAATGAACAAGACGGATGGGTTTCCTCTTCCCTGGAGAAGGAAATCAGTACTTTGTTAGGTCGATCACTGGTGAGTGCCTTGCCCTTGATTTTGGGTAAGGGGTCGCCTCACGATCCTTTGCAGGTTTCTTCCTCC